TCCCAGAAAGCAGCTGACTTACTGCAACAAATTTACTATATTATGTGTGTTATGAGGTTAAATACTTTCAGAATAAACTTGTGTTATTTTGTGTACAACTTCTAAAATACCATAAGGTGTTTTTGTATATCTCCTGGACGGTAGAATTTTGGTTTACACTAACAATCTCAGTGTAGTCTCAATTGTCACAAGTGCCAGGTGCTTTTGTTTAGTGTGCTCAGAATTGTATTTAATTCTTGTTGTGAGCTCTCCATGCTGTATCCCCAGTTATAACTCCAAAGTCAGAAACAAAACTCCTTGAAACGATAGCGAAGCTGGTTCTGTAGAGGAACGTGGGTTTGGAACTGACAACCCCAACTGGGGAATGGATTCATGTCCCAATGGACAGGGAGAGGTTAAGCTTTGGTTTGTTTCTGCAGACTTACTAGCTCAAGTATAGATCAGCTCCTGCATCAACACCAGCCTGGATCCAGAAGTACTTCAGCTGGTTCTGGGTCAAACAAAGCCCCGTGAGTTGGTGCCAGCTGTGTGTGGGGGCGGCTCAGATGCTGCTCTGTGCTGCTGGGGGGCTGGCTTTGTGCTGCTGGATCTTGGCTCCAGTGTTGTGTCTGAGAGGTCTGGTGGAGGCTTTGAGGTCTCTTTTACACTTCATACAAGCTTTTGAGCAAGGCAACTGTCATCAGTTGCACTTCTGTAAAAGTAGATAGCTGTGCTTTCATTCCCACGCAGGAAAGAAGGAAGGGTCACATCTGAGATATTTGGATTGTGGTGGTAACTTGCACATATGCTGTGCAAAGATTATTTGAATCATCCAGTTCTTTTGAGTGAGATATATCTAATAACTTATTTAAGACTTGAATAGTATCTGATTTTCAGAAGATAAGCTAATACGTTCATTAACTCTGGTTCTCTTTCCAAGATGTTACTGTTCATTGCTAGTGACAAGCATTTCTGGTTCTGCAACAGTTCAACAAAGTTAAATGTATGTAATGTAAAACCAGCTTTCAAAGTTTTGTTGCTCCAATACGATGTGGAGCACACAGTTCTCGGAAGTAAAATTTTGGTTTAGCAGTGCTTCTGTAGTGGTCTTCTGGTGTGACATGCAATCTCCTTGGACTAATCTTTCCGTGAACAAAGCAGGTCCTAAGAACGTTGTATTCATCCTTGGTTTAATGTAAAGCTATTTTCTAATCTCCACATTAAATACTTGTTCAAAGATTACCTTTAGTTTGTTGGAATTGCCAAATGCATTGTAGAAATTTGCCCACGTGGCAAAGCTGTGCTGCTGATGCTAAAAATGTCAGCAGGATGGAAGAAGAAATCATAGGAGAAAATGAAAAAGCCTCGTCAGGTTGGGGTTTTTCTTTTTTTAAAACAAACAAACAAACCAACCCCCAAACCAACAAACAACTGTCTTGCCTCCTAAGGCTAACGAGGGGGTAATTTAAGTCACTTCGCAGCTGAATTGTTGACTCTGAACATCCCATTAAGTTTCTTAAAATCTTTCCTAGAAAATAGAAATGGGCATGACTGATCACTTCAGAGGGTGTTTGATCTGAGGACTAACTTGGCTTTTCAAGGCTTTACCTCTTGCCTGTTTTGGAACATGGTTTAAGTAGGATGTTTTCACTAGATTATTGACAGAGTCTGAGATTATAACTGGCTCCATAAAAGCACAGTAAAAACTATTTAAATGCTCTTTCACTCCACAAGAGATTTTACTTTCTTCACGACTAATACTAATTTACATCTTTGAAGTGTGATTGTTTTTTTATAATTTAGAAAGTGGCTTGAAGCAGAAGTCCATCAAAATTTATTTAGTGTATGCTTCTGGTTTTTTGGAAACAAGCATCTCCATACTTTTTCAACGAAAGTGCCTGCTAGGATATTTAAGTACAGGGTACACCATAATATTTTTAGTACAGTCTAATCCTGTTTAACCAAAACATCTTTACATCAAACAGAAGTTACACTGGTCGTAGCATTTCTAGACTCTTGATAGCAAAATTAACAGGTGGGAATACCGTGACAAAAAAAGGTTAAATATACTACATCTGGGAAGCAAAAATGTGACATGGTTTTCTTTCGAGAATGAAGACATTAGCTGTGACACTAAAGGGGAGGGATTATTGTGCATTTAATTCGGTAACTCTGCAAAATGAAAACCTATTTTACCAGAATCGTCCAGAGAACAGCTTCTCATCAAGGGCTTTTTTTCATTCTCGGTTACATTTTTAAGCTCCTCTTTTAGCTTTTTTTGAGAGGTGTAAAGCTATCATTTTTTATTATTAAAGGATCAGTTTTATTTTCATTTAACGAGCCTTGTTAAACAGATTAGATGGTTTAGAGGGGGGAAAAATGCTTGGAGGCAGGCACCAGGGCATTTGAGATGATTAATGTTCTGAAGTCTGTAAGCAGAGGCAGAATGTGTGAGCTTGCCTTGCACAAAGCGGTTACTCTGCTTGTTCAGAGCTGTGCGGGTCACTGTGAGGGCTCGGTTGTACATAAAGGACATTTGTTTCACTGGGTGTTGATTTAGCATAGTCTCTTTTCAGCTGATACTGGGTGGGAAGCGAGCTTCTTGGCTATATTGAAGAATATTTTGCATCTTAATTCGTTGTTGTGGTTAAAAGTAAGGGTGACTGTCCACTGTGGTTTAATGACTTGATATTTTGGCAAATAAATGCTGCACTAATGCCTGCTTATGCCTTTTAGTCAGTAATACAAATAATCAAAGGCTTGGTAATATATATTGCTTCTATATTTCCTGTTTTCTTTTGTTTAGGTAAAAAACTTTGCTGTTATTTATCTTGTGGATATCACTGAGGTACCAGACTTCAACAAGATGTACGAGTTATACGATCCCTGTACTGTCATGTTTTTCTTCAGGTACATGATTGTTCTAGAATGTAACTCCGTTCAGTTTGTCGTGTGTCAAATACAGAGTCTCAGCAGATCATTTCTAAATGCGTATCAGCATACTGATGGATTTCCACTGCTCTCCAGAGGACTAAACTGATGAACTGGGACAATGGCTTGTTTCCATTTAGCCTACTGACAGTGTTGTGATAACAGAGTACAAATAGTGACAGTGAAAACCGGTTTTATTACCCATTGGTTTTAGTCTTTAACCTGAAACTCCGTGTGTAGACTACTGCAGGAATATGTCAGTCCATCTTGTCAAACTTGCTTTAAAGATACACCCAAAGGGTGAAGGGTTTTTTGGAGCTAAGGCATCTACACTAATGAGATAAAATGTGCTGACCAGCGTGGAACTCTCTGTGTTAGTGGTGGGAAAGAAATCTAAACATGAGGAATATGCTGAGGGATAACTGAGTAGCAATCCTGGGGGTGTGTTTGCAGTCTTTGTTCTAGCTTAAGAAATAGGCAGGAAGATGCCTGCTGGAGGGACGGGAGTGGCTACTCTTTCTTTGAGGCTTATTTTTCAAGCCCGTTTATGTTAGAAGGGCTTCTTGTGAATCCTACAGAGCATGCTTGTGGGGGATAGAAAGTTTATTTCTGAATTATAATACTATATTAACTTGTCTTTTTTTTTTTTTCTCTCCCTTTAAAGGAACAAACACATCATGATTGATTTAGGTACAGGTAATAACAACAAGATCAACTGGGCAATGGAAGATAAGCAAGAGATGATTGACATTATAGAAACTGTTTATAGAGGAGCCCGCAAAGGTCGCGGGTTGGTAGTATCGCCAAAAGATTATTCCACTAAATACAGATACTGACATTTCTTTGGGGCTACTTTTTTTTTTACCCCGACGTCCGCTTAAATTTATTCTTGTGTGTTTGTGTATATATATATATATTAAATGCAAAAAACTACAAATCCTTCAACTTTGAGCATATTTTGAATTATTGAAAAGGTTTTAACTCCATTTGGAAAAGTAAAAGACACAAAGCCTGGAACTGCCTGCAGTTAATACTGTAGATTAATTTTGGATTGGTTTTTTTTAAAGACTTTACTATGTGTTGTCCTTTGAGTATGATGTATTTTTGTACACAAAAAGCCTGTTTGCAGAAAAAACATTTCAACTGGTTTTGTTTGCTTTTGTTACACAAGTATGTGGGAAAACGATACCATAGGTTTTTTAAAAGAATAAAATGAGTTTCACTTATTTACCTTATTTTTCTTTAGCTAATTAAATTTGAGAATGAAAACAAATGTAGTTGGATGCAAGGTCATAATGTTGAAGAGGAAAGTTTATCGCTTCTGTCAGGATTTCCTTACATAGTATCTTGATCTTCTGTGTCCACTAAAAATAGGAAGAAAACACTATGGTTCACCTGTACTTTTAGTCCAGTTTGTCACAAGACAAAGTAGAATATTTTTTTTTTTACCATCTGCATGTTTTAGAGGATTTACAATGAGTCAAGAAAGTAAAATTAATCTGGTTTACACTGGCTGTTAATGATGAAATCCTTTATGTTGGAAAGGGACTTCTGGAGGTCTAGTCCAGGCTCCCAAAGCAGATCCTACTTGATCAGGTTGCCCAGGACTGTCCAGTGTTGAGTATCTCTGCGGGGGGAGATTCCTCAGCCTTTCTGCAAAGCTTGTTCTGCTGCTTGAGCATCCTTATAGTTGAAAAAAGTGTTCCTTTCATCTATCTGGGAATTCCTGTGTTTCAGCTTCTGTCTACTGAGTCTCTCATGTAAAACACCTCCAACAAGAGTCCAGCTGTTCCCCACACTCTGCTGTGGCGGCGTTGTAGCCAGAAGGCAAGCCTTAGTTTTGTCTTAATGCTGAGTTCTCTCAAATCCTCAGACGCTTCGTACTCTACCATGTCTTGGTGGCTGTTTAACTCCCTCATAACAAAGTATTTCTTGAACTGGGGAGCCCCAAAATTGACACAATATTCTGAGCGTGGTCTCCCAGGAGTTAAATAGAGGGGAGTGACCTGATGGCTGTACTTGTGCTAACAGGACCAGCATGTGGCTGCAGCCTTTGTTGCTAGGGCACCCTGCTCTCCACCAGACCTCCCTCATTTCCTGCCAGCTGGAGCCTCGCAGCTGCCCTGCAGCGTAAGCTTGCCCTGGCCAAGAGGCAAGGTTTGGCACTCGCCTTTGAATTTCATGAGGTTCCTGTTGGCCCGTTTCTCCATCCTGCCCTCTAGCATATTAACCTCTCCTCCTGGTTTGGCATTGCTTGCAAATCGACACTGATTAAAGCATTGATTAGAATGATTTCTGGCTATGAATGAAGACTGTGTCAGTGATGCTAACACCTGCTGAAGTTTTAACAAGCATATTTATCCTTCGTTAGCTGAGGTATTCTATTTATTTGGTAATGCTTCCATTTCTGCATTTGTTGTAAGAGGCTCCGCTGAAGTTTGTAACAAAATATTTCCTGCAAAAAGCGCTAATGATGTCTTGGAGTACAAGAACCTTCAAGTTAGTGGAGATGTCCTGTTTTCTTGGACTCTACCATGTCTTGTTCAGGAGATGTTTGGTAACTAGCATTCCTTATTTATCTCCAAGTCTTTAAAATAGTCTCTCTCATCAAAAAAGCTCACATCAAAAGAACTGAAATTGGCCCAGTGTGCATACCTGGATGGTGTTACCTGCACAGGTGTGCACAGCTTTGAGAAGAGTGACAACTGACCAGCTGTAATTGTGAAAATACTGCCACTTCTTGTAGTGCAGAACAGTTTATAGTCCTTGGAACGATGAAATTTGGCAAAGGCACCCTTGTAATAGCACCCAATGAGAAGTTCATTTTGGAATGTAAAACATTTAAAGGAGCATTGAAATGGCACGTGCAATTAGAAGAGTTTTCTCATAGAAGGATCTTGTTATTCAGACAACATGAGAGTTAAAAAGGCAACAAATAATGATGAAAAATTTAATATTATTAAAATAAATACATTTTCATACACTGAACAGGTTTGTGAATTGATACATTCTCTATACAGGATACAGTTTTCTCTGCAAAATAGTGGTTTTGCCTACCCTGAAACTAACAGTTCTTTCCCAGGTACAGGAAAGACAGTATCCCATTTAGATTAATAAACCCAGCTTTCTACTTTTTTTCCTGGGGCAATAGTTTAAAAAAAAAAAATCTATTGTGACATGATGCAAGCATGTTTGTCTTCACTGATGCTTTTCACGACCAGTGACACTGATTGCAGAGTTCCAGATTCAGCGCAGTGCTGTTCTCCCTTTATCTTTCTCCAGCACATCCTCATTTCAGTGCTGCAAAGAAGCAGTGAACAAGTAGGTTAGTGCTTTAATTATTCATGAATGTGATTCCGCATAACAATAGGAAGATCTCTGTAGAATTAAATAAGTCTTCATGGATTGTCTTTATTTCTGAAAATTATTTATGACAAAGGCATCAGAATGAATAGAAGCCTAAATTACTTCAGTGTTTACAGCCATTCCTGTCTTTAGCTGGGTAAGCAGTCTCTAAATGACAACGTAATGGCTGTGTCTCAGTTTGAATGGGGAAAGCTGCAACAACAGGAAGAAGGCATTGCTCACACCCCCAGAACACAGAAGCAGTGCTGCTCATCAACAGTAAGAACACCAATCCATTGGGGCAGGTGGGGGCCTGTGCAAGGATATAAAATCTGGCACACAATCCTGAGCTGTACCATGATCTTACAGTACAGTGTTTGGCAATAATACTGGAGATCTTTGCTCTTTCCATCTTACTGCTGCAAGAACAAACAGCTGCTCTGTTCAGTGAGGGTTTTTCCGAGGTGTGCTCTGAGCCTCGCTGGGAAGCTGAAGCAGGTTTAAAAGCAGATGCACATAAATTTATACCAGCCAGAATCCTCAGGTTAGCATACTTGAGGGACAGGACCGGTGGGCAGGAGTGCTTTAAGCTACACACGTTACTCCAAATGCACAGCTTCAGTTTACATCCTTGGGATTAGTTTGCGCTACCCTTGAATATGGCACTCAGCTGGAACAGACGCAGCAGCTACAGGTTGGGTACTTTTGAAAAAGTAGCATTCTTTGGCTCTTAGTAAAAAGAAATCCAAGGTAATTGAAAATATTTTTTAAATAATACACTTTAAAATCCAAGCAAATGCAGGTATGATAAATAGGTAAACAATCTTTTCATCCTTGGTGCTGCCCATAGTTGAAAACTAGGTGGAAACGCATAAAATATAGTAAAAGTTAATTACGTTTCTTTACTCGCAGGTCTTCATCGGTGTTCTCTATCCCAGCCTCTGTCATCAGGTCAGCAACGTGCTTCTCAAGATCATCAATGCGCTCACCCATTTCTTCCAGTAAAAAGTTAAAGATATATTTTACCTATAAATAAGAATTCTATAATTTTATAGTGTTTTTCTTCTCTGAGAAAAAACTAGAAGCTTTTTTCCAGTTGTCTCAGCCTCTTAGTTATTTGTGTTCAACACTAACGCAAGATGAAACATGTACAAGGTTGTATGGTTACGAGACAATCCCACTTTCTTTTGCAACAGCTAGGCATTCAAGTTCTAAATATTTTCACATGCCTTCCTGTATGCCCATCACCGAACGGGAGTTTTTTCTGTGTAAGAGATTGTTTTCCTTCTGAGGAACTGTTTTAGGTGATACCATACAGTCCCCATACACCGTCAGAATGCGACTGCCACTCAAACCCCGTTCTTCTCTTTTGCTAAAGCACCCACTTCCTGAAAGGTCAAGTTGCAGAAAAAATGGACAATGTAATAAATTCACAGTTTCAGAAAGCAGAGGTAGTTTCTCTAACTGCATCTAATGACAAAGCTGAGAACCCCTTCAGCTCTTGATTTCTCTTTTTGAGGGCTCCCCTTCCCACACTCGGGAGGCTCCCAGTTGTTTTTAAATCAACAGCATGCAGTGATTTCAGGGGCATTTTTTAAGATTATGGCTTTTTTAATGGAGCCTCAGAATCTTTACACATAATTTGCTGCTTATTTTACTTGAGATAATTGCTGCCCAGCGACTAGCTCCCTGGGAGTCGATACTACTCCTAGTAAAACCTTTGTTAGGATTTCCTTCTTTAGTAAAGGGAAAAATAAAAAATGGGCGGACAATTCGGGTGTCCTGACATCAGAGGTGTTTAGCAACGTCAGTCCCTAGAGCTCTGAGGTTCCCCATTTCCAGAGACAGCCCCTCCTGCCCCCCGGGGCGGTGCGCGGGGAGCACCCCGCCCGCTCCGCCGGAGGAACCGCGGCGCGGAGCCAGAAACCCGCCTGCCAGAGAGGATATTCCTCAGCGCCAGCTTTTCGGTCAGGGCTTGAAAACTCTCCTGCAGCTGATGCAGCAGATTTTCCGCCTGAGGGGAAAAAAACAAGAGAGTAAAACAACGGCGGA